CACACTCAGTGCATCCCTTACAGACGCACACACTGCATCCCATACATACACAAGCTCACCTTGCAGCCCTTACAGCCCTTACACATACAAACACAGATTCACACAATGCATTCCTTACACACATCAGGACATCCCCCCCTCCACACACACACACCCCTGTGAACAAACTCATTGGTGGAACATGGACCCTGGGACCCAGACCTTGAGCTGTGTAAAGGGCCCTCAAAAAAATGGAGCTGCTTCCCGTTGATCCCAGAACATTGATTTTTGTGACCACAGTTACAAAACGCCTCCAGAGAGCCTGTTCTACACCAGACCAGTGGAGCCAGACTGCAGCTAAAGCCCATCATCATCCTCATCTGGTTGTAAGTAGGCAATCTAGTATATTATTTGTGGCACTAATCTCTAATTTACCTCACATTAAAGGGACACTATAGTCCCCAGAACCATTACAGCTTAATGTAGTGGTTCTGGTGTCTAGCCTGTCCCTGCAGGCCTTTTAATGTAAACACGGCGGCACTGCAGCACTGGTGTTACTTAACATGGCAGATCATATGGATGGGGCATTGTGATGTCACATGGGGGGCGGCAAACTTTACTTTTGCCTAGGGCGGCAAAAATCCTTGCACAGGCCCTGCAGACACTGCATTCCTGTGGGCGGACTTGGGGGGGGGGAGGGGGCAGCACTTTGGGCGGACTCGGGTGCAGGCACTGGGGGGCCCAGACCTTGAGCTGTGTCAGGGGCCCCAAAATTTCTGATGGCAGCCCTGCATATACCTCAAAAGGCGAAGAAGAACATACAGTCTTATTTGGATAAGTTCACAAGGTATGGTATCCTAAAATTCTGTACTTCCCCCTGGAATACTCCATTGTTGCCTGTTCAGAAGCCTGGGTCAGATGAGTATCGTCCTGTGCAGGATTTGAGAGCAGTCAATGATGTGGTAGTAAGTATACATCCAGTTGTGCCCAATCCTTATAACCTGCTTGCCTTGATTCCGGGTGGGGCTACTTACTTTACAGTCTTGGACCTTAAAGATGCCTTCTTTTGCCTACGAATTGCTACAGAAAGCCAGTGTATCTTTGCATTCCAATGGGAAGATGCTGTAACGGGCTCGAAACGTCAGATGACCTGGACAAGATTGCCCCAAGGGTTTAAAAATTCACCTACCCTATTTGGATCAGCATTAAGTCAGGACTTATTAGATTTCAAGTCCATCCCAGGAGAATGTGTACTACTACAATACGTGGATGATTTGTTGATAGCGGCAGTTACTAAAGAGATATGCCAGCAAGCAACTTATGATTTACTGCACATTCTTTGGAAGGCAGGATACAAGGTGTCCAGGAAGAAAGCTCAGTTGTGTCAGCCAACTGTCAAGTATCTGGGATTCCATATCTCTGAAGGTCAAAGGATAATGGGGCCTGAAAGAAAAGAGGCTGTATGCCAAATACCAACACCTAAGAATAGAAGACAAGTGCGAGAATTCTTAGGGGCAGCAGGCTTCTGTAGGATATGGATTCCCAGTTATGCGATACTGGCGAAACCCCTCTATGCCGCTATTAAAGGCACGGAACATGATTCCTTCCTGTGGACCATCGAACAGCAGAAGGCATTTGAGGATGTTAAGAAGGCATTGATGAGCACCCCCGCATTAGGTCTACCTGATCATACACGTCCATTCTACTTATATGCACACGAGCAAAGAAGGATGGCTGTGGGAGTACTGACACAGTATCTGGGATCATGGCAACGACCTGTTGCGTATATGTCCAAACAACTGGATGCAATAGCCAGTGGTCTTCCTCCTTGTCTAAGGGCCGTAGCTACCGCCGCCCTGTTGGTAGTAGAAGCTGACAAGCTCACTCTGGGTCAGGAACTCTATGTGCGAGTCCCGCACGCACTACAGACGTTGCTAGACTATAAAGGTAATCATTGGTTTAGCAATAGCCGCATGACTAAGTATCAAGCCATGTTATGCGAGAACCCGAGAGTGCATCTTGAGACTGTTAATACCTTGAACCCAGCTACCCTCTTGCCGCAACCTACTGAGAGTCGACATGATTGCCTGGAGGTAATGGATGAAGTGTTCTCAAGTAGACCGGACCTTCATGATTTTCCCATCCAGAACCCCAATGTTCAGTCTTACACGGACGGCAGTAGTTACGTGAAAGAAGGGATTTGCTATGCCGGATATGCAGTGACAACTATAGACAAGGTGAGAGAAGCGCGGCCATTGTCAAAAGGAACATCAGCACAGAAGGCAGAATTAATCGCACTTACACGGGCTTTGCAATTGGCTGAAAGGTTGAAAGTAAATATCTACACAGACTCAAAGTACGCGTTTTTAACCACTCATGCCCATGGAGCTTTGTATAAAGAAAGAGGATTACTGACCTCAGAAGGAAAATAAATCAAGTACGCAGCTGAGATATTACAACTATTGGAAGCTGTATGGGAGCCAAAGGAAGTTGGTATCATACATTGTCGAGCACATCTGAAAGGTGATGGTGATGTGGTGAGAGGAAATCGGATGGCAGATAGTGCAGCTAAGCGTGCCGCTGAATCCAGACAAAAAGAATATGTGGAGTGTGTAGCAGCTCTTATACCGACCCCTCTGTCCCAGTGGACTCCAGTTTATACAGCTCAAGAAGTAGAGTGGTTAAAGACTGAAGCAGGGAAATATTTGGAGAATAATTGGTATCAGTTAGATGGAAGAATAGTTATTCCAGCATCGCTAGCTGTAGAAATTGTCCAGAATTATCATAATGGGACACATTCTGGAAGCGATAGTATGGAAGAATCTCTTAGGAAGCATTTCTACATACCAAGATTGTCCAACTTGACTGAAGCCATTGTTCGAAGATGCGTGTCATGTGCCAAGAACAACGCAAGGCAAGGTCCAGTGAAACCACCGGGAGTCCAGCACATAGGAGGGCTTCCTATGTCCGATCTCCAAATAGACTACACGGTAATGCCCAAATCCAGCGGACATCGTTACCTACTAGTAGCTGTGTGTACCTACTCAGGATGGGTAGAGGTGTGTCCAACTCGTACAGAGAAAGCAGGAGAAGTTGTGCGATTTCTGTTGCGAGAAATAATACCTCGATATGGACTACCGTGTTCTATAGGATCACATAATGGTCCAGCTTTTGTCCATCAGTGCCTACAACAACTGACTCATATGCTTGGTATTAAGTGGAAACTTCATACAGCATATAGGCCTCAGAGTTCTGGGAAAGTGGAAAGGATGAACAGAACCATTAAGACCCAGTTGGCAAAAATGTGTCAAGAAACCCAACTTAAGTGGAATGTTCTTTTGCCAATAGCTCTGTTGCGCATTCGTAGTACACCTACCAGAAAGTTAGGTCTATCACCCTTTGAAATTATGTATGGGCGTCCACCTCCCATACTTAGTAACTTAAGGGGGGACTTGAGTCAGTTGGGAGAAGGAATTACCCGGCGGCAGGTTGTAGAGTTGGGTAAAACTATGGAGGAGGTACAGAAATGGGTACAAGATAGGTTACCTGTAAATATTTATCCACCTGTCCATTCTTACCATCCAGGAGACCAAGTTTGGATAAAGGAGTGGAACAGTGTACCGTTGGGGCCAAAGTGGAGGGGTCCTTATGCTGTTCTTTTGTCTACTCCAACAGCTATAAAGGTGGCAGAGGTGACTCCGTGGATTCATCACTCCAGGGTTAAACCAGCAGCAGATTCTTGGCAAGCTACTCAAGATCCTGAGAATCCCTGCAAGATCCGGTTGAAGCGAGTGACCCAGTTAGATTAAAAGTGGTTTTTGCGAAGAGTATTGTTACAAGGGAACATCAACAAAGATCTACAAGTAGGTGTTTTGATGGCCACAATAAAGCCTGACCACCTACCAACGTTTAAGCCAGAGGAATCCTCTGTGAAGAACAGTGAGGATCAGAAGGACTCCATTCCCTGCAGCCCTCACACGCCTGGAAGCTGAGGTGCCGTCGCACGGTCGAAGAATTAGGAAGAAGATGTCAGGAGTAATGTGTTTGATGATGTATATATGTGTGTTTTTAATTATTCAGGAAGGTAGAGGTACCGACACACCAGGCTGCGAGGTTTGCATTAAGACTACGAAAACAGGCAATCGTATTTCCCAGACCCTTATTTGGCATTCGCAATATGAGTGCACAGGACATGTATCAAAGTGTAGATACCTAGGTACAGATTATAGTGTATGCCATATAGGAGCAGGAGAACCTAGGTGTTTTAATCCTGAGTATCAGCCCCGTACAATTTGGTTGACTATTCGGAATGAGAACGCACAGGGGAACCTGATAAATAAGACTGTACTAGAAAGCGTACATTCTCCAGGTGTTTTGCTATTTGATGCATGTAAGGCGATATCAGGTAGTAGGAAGCCATGGAATGTATGTGGTGGTCTTAAATGGGAAAGAACGTATGGGTCTAATGATAAGTATATTTGTCCTAGTAATAAGCATAAGTATATAGATCCAAACTGCCTAAATAAAGACTACAATTATTGTCCGTATTGGTCCTGTGTGGGATGGGCAACCTGGGGACAGACAGTAGATAAGGATATGATTATCACTAGATTGCCTATCAAGCCATATTGTAAGTCTATGGAGTATAACCCAGTCCATATACTTATCAAGGACTCAGAGCTATTTATAGATAAGTTTGGGAATCTATTTGGGTTCCAAATATATGGAACAGGTCTGGATCCTGGGACGATATTATACATAGGAATAGAGACAGATACAGTGGCCCCCCAAACTCATCAGGTTTTCCATTCTTTTTATGGGGAGATGAGTGTGGAAGATAAGGTTCCCCATAATGCCAAAAACTTATTCATAGACCTAGCTGAGAGCATTGCTGGTAGTCTTAATGTAACCAACTGCTATGTGTGTGGAGGTACTAATATGGGAGACCAATGACCTTGGGAAACAAAGGAGGTAATGTATTCTGGTTCTGAGACAGTTGAACAACTAATATCTTCTCAATCTGATTATCAAGTGAGTGTTAGAGGTAAATCTGAGTGGCGATTAAAGACCTCCATTATAGGTTATGTTTGTATAGCAAGGAAAGGAATAATATTTAATACATCTGTAGGAGAATTGACTTGTTTAGGGCAGAAAGCCTATAATGATGATAGAAATGATACTATTTGGTGGTCAGCTTCAAATGTCTCAGAACCGTCTAATCCGTTTGCAAATTATACCAATTTAAAGGATGTATGGTTTGACCTATCTGCTACATCTAGTTGGAAAGCCCCAGCAAATTTGTACTGGATTTGTGGTAAGAAAGCATATTCGGAGTTACCACAGGACTGGGAAGGGGCATGTGTATTGGGTATGCTCAAACCATCCTTCTTCTTGTTGCCAATTGAAACAGGAGAGACTTTGGGAGTTAAAGTATATGATGTAAATCATAGGAAGAAAAGGGCACCCCTAGAGATAGGTACCTGGGAAGATGATGAGTGGCCTCCCCAGCGTATTATAGATTATTATGGGCCAGCTACGTGGGCAGAGGATGGTACTTATGGATACAGAACCCCAATATATATGCTTAATCGTATTATAAGATTGCAAGCAGTAGTTGAGATAGTTACCAATGAAACATCACAAGCGCTCAATCTCCTAGCGAAGCATAACACTAGGATGAGGACAGCCATCTACCAGAATAGATTATTTTTGGATTACCTATTGGCAGTAGAGGGAGGTGTATGTGGGAAGTTTAATCTAAGCAATTGTTGTCTTCAAATAGATGATGAAGGGCAAGCAATAGCTGAGTTTACTAGCCATATGGTTAAGCTAGCACATGTACCTACTCAGGTATGGAAAGGGTATAATCCGAGTAGTTGGTTTGGTAGTTAGTATGAGCAGTTTGGAGGAATCAAGGTAGGTGGAGTCATACTGATTTTGATGTTGTGTCTCCTTCTGCCATGTCTGATTCCTTTGGTAATTAGGTCTATGCAGAGCATTACAGAAAATATAGCAGAAAGAAAGGCCGCAGCACAGGTAATGGCTGTTTGCAGATATGAAGCTCTAGATCAAGGAGAATACATGCAGGAAGAGGAATGTTGAGGGGTTCGTATCTTTAGAGGATCGCAAAGTCTAGTCTAGTTTATGGCAACTTGAGGTGTAAGCAAACTCTGATTGGTGATGCATCTGGAATTATTTTAAATCAGAAGCATTAAAGGGGTGAATGTGATGGAATTCCAGTAAAATACAAGTTTAGCAGGCCAAGATTGCCACAAGGCATATGTAGGTACATGTGTTTGTAGTATCAGTTAGTTAGTTACACGTAGCTAAGATACTGTCATCACTGTACTGAGCATGTGCAGGAATGCAGGAACTAGAATTACGCGTTCCTCTCCTTTGTTACAGATGAGCCACGTGGTTAGACCGGATGGATGAGTTTAGACTCTATTCATTGATTAGGTTAAGGGTATGTGTGGGCGTAGCTAATTATGGGAGAAGCTACAGTGCTATATAAGGAATGTACTCTATGTATTCAGTACTCAGATCTTTGCTGTTTTTGGTGACATAAGTCCCTCTGAGTCCCGGTCGGTGAATCGAATAAAGATCTCTTCCTTCCTGAAGAAACCTGTGTCCATCTCTCTGTGCTTGGCCTCCGTCAGTTTCCCGGTAACAAAACGAGTGAAGACACAATATACAGATGTAATTAAATCGCTAAATCCTTAAAAATACAAAGGCAAACTGCACTGCACAAACAGATGCAAA